TGTGGCTTCTGAGCTCCAGTCCCATCTTGGAGACCTTGCTGGGCCTATTCGTTCTTCGGCGGTCAATATGGGGATCTATGATACCGCCGGTAGGCCTCGTCGCGCGGCTGGACGTGGCAAGAAAAATGGTGTCAGGAGGCGTATTCTCAAGAATCGCGCAAAACGGTGTGCGCATCTCAAGCGAGCTTTCGGACATCACGCCATTACGATTTTTACCGCAGGACCTATGCCGAGCTTCACCTACGCTGCGGAGGCGCACGGCCTCTCCACCGCCGAGTGGCGCCAGCTGCAGGTTGCTTCCGTCAGCACCAGGCAGCCTTCTGCGGGAGCTCGCTCACGAACGTCAGCGGTCATCCTGTATGGGGTACCTACATGGTCGTGCGCTACGCCGAGGAGAGTTGGGCCAACCAGAACCGCATCTACCCAGTCGTGATTCCTTGGGGCGAACTCCGAGACTCCTGGGCCAAAGTTTTTCTCCAAGACGGGCCGTCGAAGTGGAGGGGTGTTTCGGGCCCCATGAGTGCGATGAAACTGTCCTTGGAACGCTTAGGATGGTCGATGCCATCCTACACCGTTCTCCTTGACGATTTCGAAACTGAAATACATCTTACTAAAGTGTTTCCTAGAATGTCGTGCAAACTCTTGTGTGCTGCGGTAAAGCGCATGCACGAACGTGAATATGGTTCCAAGCTTTTGCATGGCCTTCCAGGAGCACGAGTTTGTCATGACACTGTTTCGGCTGAGCTTAGGCTATCCCGGCGTACCAGGTATCAAAAAGGTTACATCACATCGGTGTCATGTTCGGCGGTCTGGACTCGAGCACGGGCGAAGCAGGCAGGCTACGACGTCGACGACTTGTGCGAGCTTTGCCTGTAGGGCAGGGACACCATCTTGCACAGGCTTTGGCGATGCACGGCGGTGCAAACCGAGCGTGGAGTCTCTGTCCAGGCTCAAAGGCGGGTTCGATATGTTCCCTCCCCCTGATCTTTCTGAAAACCCAAGAGGAATGATTCCGTCTCTACACCAGGGGATTGTTTCGACACCCTGGCGACGTGCTGCCCCGCCCTGGCCCGCGGTGATACTGATGACCATGGTGTTGAGGTTCGTTGGAGGGATTACCCAGAGAAGACTACTTTCGAAGATTTGCGGGGACACATCTTCGTCGACGGGTCCAGTATTTCTCACAACATTCCTGAACTATCCAGGGCTGGCTGGGGGGTGGGATTAGTAGATGACGAGGCGAACGAGCTCGCCCGCTTTAGTGGGCCAATCTGTGCGCCGTACCCTCAAACGGTCCGGGTGAGTTCGGCGCCTGCGCTGTGGCCGCAATGCACGCCCTTCGAGGTTCTTCCATTTATTCCGACTGCAAGAACGTAGTTGTTCAAGCGAATGAACCTTTAGTCTGAGCTTTGTGCTGCAAGAGACCCTATGCGGGCTGTTTGCTTCCCACTCACCGCAAGGTGGTCGATGGCGTTTCTAAGGTTAGAGCCCGCGTTGCCGATTCGACAGATCTGTAAGTGCGCGCGAACGTTTCCTCAAGGAAGGGAATGGTTTGGCGGACATTGCCGCCAAGAGCACGCTGTCTAGGCATCCTCAGCTCAGCCTCGAGGAGACGCGATGGCTCGACCGTGTGCGGAAGGTGTCCAAAGCGGTTGCCAATGCTTCGTGTGATGTGGTGCCCTCTTTGGCCACGACTGAACCTGAAAGGGGCTGCGTTGGAGAAGGCGGCTGCACCCAGTCAGCCCAAAACGACTGGTCCAGCCCACAGCTGGGTGCGCGTTTCAAGCTTCTGGCAGTGTGAAGCTTGTTAAGGGCGTCCAGAGGCGTCAAGGCTCCAAAGTCGTTGGATCCGAATCGTCTGGAGCCCCCGCCTCCCGGCGCCTGTACCAAGCCTCCTCTGATTGATCCGAAGGCCAATGTCCTTTGGAAGCACCGTTGTTTAGCGCCCGCTTGCTCTGATAGCGCGTTGCTGATCGTGTGCACGAGATGGAAAGCATACACCAGCCACGGCCATCCTCGGAATCTGTCTGGGAATTGTAATGGTGTTCCGCAGTCCAATGGAGCCAAAGGCGCCTGGTCTGCCGGTTGCAAAGGGAAACATCCGAAAAGAACAGGGGTTACCGTTGAGCGTGGCCCCTGGTCTGTCATTTGATGCTCTTACTGTTCTGAGCTTGCTCGTGTCACCCAGTGGAGGTTCGAGAGCCACTCTTGCTGCGAGGTCCTCTGATTTTTTTGGCGGGGACCCAAGCTCCATCGGTACAGGAGGGTGGCCTGGGCTACTCCGTGCATTCAGTGGCGGTTGATGTCAATCCTCCTCCTCCTCCGCCGCCTCCTCCTCCTCCTCATACGCCTCCTCCTCCTCCTCCTCCTCCGCCCTCTCCTCCTCCTCAACCTCCTCCTCCCATTCCCCCCGTGCCTCCGTTTCATCGTCCACTCCACCTCCTCCTCCTCCTCCTCCTCCTCCTCCTCCTCCTCCTCCTCCTCCTCCTCCTCCTCCTGCTCCTCCTCCTATTCCTCCTCCTATTTCTCCTCCTCCTCCTCCCCCTCCTCCTCCGCCTCGCCGCTCGTGAGGTCTGGCGCGTGCGCCCAGGGAGGCGCTATGCGGGCGGCGCGGGGGGCCGCGCTGATGCTGGGATCCTGGGGCGCGGGGGCCGCTCCGTTTGTGATTAGGGGTCGATATATTCCCCCCTCCCTGAGCCTTCCCACGATACGATTGCTGACGAGATGTCAGAGGTGTAGACACTCATGCAGGAAAGACAACCTGATGTGACGATCCAGATGCTGAGAGCGCCTGAGGACCTTGTCCTGGGCTGAGCTCCCGGGTCCAGGACCCGTTTCCACCAGGTCCGCTCTCTTCTTTCTTTCTTTCTTTCTCTCTCTCTCTCTCTCTCTCGCTCTGGTGCAAAGACAGCTCCCTCCTCGCCCCTCACGCATCGCTTGTCCGTCCACTGCAAAAGCACCGACAAGGCAACCCAGAATACACGGAGCGGGTCCAAGAAATCACGAACCCAAACAGGCTGCCGTCTCTTGGGGCCGCATGTTACTTCCGCCGCCTTCCGCCGAGCTTCCGCCAGCTTCCAGAGGGGGAGCCACCCCCGTTTTACGTCCGCCGGCGTCCGCCGACTTCAGCCGAGGAAGAGATGTCATCTCCCCGGATTCCTCGAAGGCGAGGCCTTTTCTGGAACGCGTCACATACCCAGACCTCCGACGTCGTGATTTTTCACGACGTCGGCCCCCAGAAGTCTCGAAGTCTCGACGCCTTCCCCGGGGCCAGACTTTGAATCCCAAGTCGTGCTTGCTCGGACCCCAGGCCCTGCGAGGGCCCAAGAGGCCGAACATAGGGGGAACAAAACAAAATCCGTCGTGCTTTTCACAACGCGAGGCAGTCTGAGTCGTTCGACTCCTCGACGACGAGGCCCTGTCTGGAACGCCTCACATACACACCACCACCACCATGCCCGGCCAGGAGCATCCTGCACCCTGCCGTGGCGTCTTCGCTCTCCCCGCCGAAGCCAGGAGGTTCCCCACACCATCCCAGGGCCCAGGATGGCCCTGGCCAGACGTGGCGGCAGGGTCTAGGAGCCCTGCGCGAATAGTAAGAGGCGGCAGAGCGTAGACACCTCCCACCCATACTCAAGGGGCAGAAGGACACACAAATAAATACACAAATAAAATGATGCCCCATATTTTCTTATATTTTCTGGGTATTTGTCTTCCCGCCCAATTCCCATATTTTCACATATTTTCTTAGGGGTTGACGATTAATTGTGTCTGTGTGTTTTTTCCCCTCCTGAAATACTCCCAGCCACCGCTTGCCCCTCTCCCGCTGATGAAGCATACAGGAGAGCAGAACCACCCACTTCACCCCTGCACCATCCTTTGCGCCTCCACCGCAAAGAGGTACCGACTAAAAACTGGGTGTCTGGGACGTCACAAAGCGGTGTGGTGACGGACCGCGCGGTGACCTCAGAATCCCGAACGACCTCACGGCACAATCCGTCACCGCATGGTCTGAGGACCTCGCAGGCCCCAGCCGCCCGAAAGGCATCCTCGGAGAACGACCCGAATCTCAACACCGTGCGGCCGCGCCGAATGCCTGGCTTCCGGTCCACGACTCGGGCCTCCCAGCACGCACTGGGCCAGGCGCAGCTGCTGGAACGCATCCCGAGGCAGGAAAACCCTCAGGGACCGGCGAAGACGTCCGACAACACCAAATCCCCACTGACTCACTCGGGAATCTTCCGACCCGGGTCCATCCAGACCCGGGTCAGCAGTAAACCAAAACACCACAGTGCAGGAAGACAACAAAACCTGCAGCGCAGGTCTTCGCAAGTCCGGGCCAACCAATGTGCGCGGCCGCCTCGCGGCCACGAGCGGCTCGCTAACCCGGGTCAGCCAGAGGGGGTCTTCGCCGCGCGCGCTGCATTCCGTGCGCGAGCACGTCCGGCGAGGGGGCCGCTATCGGCGGGCGCCGCCAGAGCTCCCGAGGGCGGCCCGCGGCGGACTTCGGGCGAACGCCGCCTCGGTTCCTGCATGTCCTCCTCCTCCTCCTCCTCCTCCTCCTCCTCCTCCTCCTCCTCCTCCTCCTCCTCCTGCAGGATCCGGTGTCCTGGCTGACCCCCGTTTGCATTGACCCCCGTCTCAGGGCTCCCGACTCACCACGCGGCGCGGTCACCACACCGCTGCGGGGGCCCCCGGTGCGGTGCCCCGTCCCGTGCTGCGGGTCGCCCAGAGCTCGACCCCCCTGCCCGGACGAGGCGCCCGCTCGCCCTCGCAGCTTCTGGCTCAGGTTGCGGATGCCATGACAGTGGACACTCTAACAATCCGATCATGGAATGAAACATGTGTTTGACATGTGCAAAAAACAATGTCTAAACATGCTTCGAACATGGCTTACATATTTTAAACATGTTTGACACATGCTTTAGACATCTGGACATGCTTTGGCAGCACGCTTCCTCTCCATAGATCGACTTCCACAAGGCTCAGTCTCGCTGCACCTCGCAAACTCGGGTGAGGGGGGGGCCCAGTCCTGGCCCTGCGCGTCGAGGTTGATCTCGCACTCCTGCGGGCCCGCGGGCCGCGCCGCCCCTCCCCCCCCCGCCTCTGTTCGGTGTGCGCGCCTTCCTGGCCCAGGGCACGTCCCTCACGCCTGCCCGCGCCCGCGGATCTTGCGGTGAGCAGGCGCGCTCCGCAGGAGGGCAACCTGCTCGAGGGGGCGGGTCGCAAGGCGCGGTCGGCTGCCCTAATTCTCGTGGGTTCTTCGTTGGCCTGATGTGTCACTCTGCAGCCGCAGCTGTGCGGGAGCTGTGGTGGCCTGCACGAGGACTGTGCCGCGCAGCCCTTCTGATGGCCTGCCAACCTGGTGTGGCGTGCGCTTCTATGCGGGTCAGGATGCTGCACGAATCCAGCCTGCGCAGACGGAGCACGCGGTTCTGCGAGACCCATGGCAAGCTGGACCCGAGCAGGCATCAGGGACGATACCGCCGCGCGAGTAACAGTCGCCACGAGGCGGTCATTCGGCCCGTGGGAGAGTCGGCAAGCCAGCAGCTGGCGCATTCCGGCAGAGGAGGAGGAGGAGGAGGAGGAGGAGGAGGAGGAGGAGGAGGAGGGGAATAGGAGGAGGGGAGGGAGGAGGAGGAGGAGAGGAGGAGGAGGAGGAGGAGGAGGAGAGGAAGAGGAGGAGGAGGAGGAGGAGGAGGAGGAGGAGGAGGAGGAGGAGGAGTGGGAGGACCAGGAGGAGGGCAGGATACCTGTCGCGCGCAAGCACCCGGAGGCCCAAGACCAGATCGCAGCCTCGCCTGCGCAGACGTGCCACGCCAGACTGCTCTGCGCCCTGGCCACCCCAGTTGGGGGAGGCCCACGAGGCGTCAATGTGGCCTGCTATTAACCTCGGCAATCAAGAAGCGGACAATCCCTGCTGGGAAGCAGAAGAGGTAGGCAAAGAGAGAACATGCTCGATCCACGAACCCGGAAAGGAACATAGACATGTGAGGAATGGCAGCGTTTTCAATACACCTGCTTGGGCGACGGGCAACTGCAATGCGGAAAGCATCGATCTTGATGTACCGTGCCAAGGGCTGTGCTGTGCTGCACCGCGCTGAATTGCGATGTGCCATGCCTCGAATGTGCTCTATAGCGTTGTGGATCGAGTCCTCCTTTGCATCCGAGTCCTGACCGAACTGATCTGGATCTTAAGCTCGAATTGCCTTAGCACACAGTAGCTGTCCCAGAGCTACTTGACAAGGGGACATGCCTGGGGGACGCGCCGCGGAACGTCCCAAGGAACGCGCCAGGGGACGTGCAAAGGGACGTGCCATGTGGACGCACCGCGGGACGTGCCAAAGCGACGCGCTACGGGAATTGCCAATGGAAGTGCCACGGGACGTGCCAATGGTCGCGCCGCGCGACGTGCCAATGGGACTCGCCAGCCACGGGACGCGTCACGGAACGTGCCAAGGAACGTGCCAGGTGACGCACCAGGGAACGTGCTAAGGAACGCGTCAGGGAACGTGCCACGGGAAGTCCCTGACCCAGCGCCAGGGCGCCAGGGGACGCCCCATGGACGGGCGGGGTTGGACTGCGACGCACTTTACTGCGATAAGCGTTTCGCACGAGACATCCTCAACAAATCCTCATGTTAGACATCCGCCTGGGCGACCTGGACGCGTGAAACCAAGCGTCTCGCTCGAGACGTTCTCAACACCTCCTCATGGTAGACATCCGCCTGGGCGACCTGGACACACGAAAACGAGCGTCTCGCCCGAACATCGTCATGTTAGACACCCGCCTGGGCGACCTGCGCACGTGAAAACCAGCGTTTCGCTCAACGCATCATCAACACATCCTCATGCTAGACATCCGCCTGGGCGACCTGGACACGTGAAACCAAGCGTTTCGATCAACACAACCTCAACACATCCTCATGCTAGACATCCGCTTCGGCGACCTGGACACACGAAAATGAGCGCCTCGCTCGAGACATCCTCCCAACATCTTCATGTTAGACACCCGCCTGGGCGACCTGGACACATGAAAACCAGCGTTTCGCCCAACATATGCTCAACACATCCTCATGCTAGACATCCACCTGGGCGACCTGGACACGTGAAACCAAGCGTTTCGCCCAACACATGCTCAACACCTCCTCATGCTAGACATCCACCTGGGCGACCTGGACACGTGAAACCAAGCGTTTCGCTCAACGCATCCTCAACACCTCCTCATGCTAGACATCCGCCTGGGCGACCTGGACACATGAAAACAAGTGTATCGCTCAACACATCCTCAACACCTCCTCATGCTAGACATCTGCCTGGACGACCTGGGCACGTGAAAACAAGAATCTCTCTCGAAACATCCTCAACAGATCCTCATGCTAGACATCGGCCTGGACGACCTGGACGCGTGAAAATAAGCGTCTCGCTCGAGACATCCTCAACAAACCCTGATGCTGGACATCTGCCTGGGCTACCTGGAGGCGCGAAACCAAGGGGAGTACAGTCGCCACGAGGTGTCGGCAATCAAGCAGCTGGCGCATTCAGGCAATCAAGCAGCTGGCGCATTGAGGCAGAGGATCGGAGCCTTGCCTCCGTAGACTTGCCATGCCATGCCACGCCAGACTGCCCTGCGCCTTAGCCACCCCGCTTGGGGGGCCCCACGAGGCGTCAATGGGGCCCGCGAGAACCTCGGCAATCAGGTGGCGGGCAGACCCTGCTGGGAAGCAGCTGAGGTAGGCAGAGAGGGAACAAAACCCACGCAATGCCTTTCTGTGGGGCTGCCAAGATCCCTGTGGCGTGCACTTCTATGGAGGCCCAAGGCAAGATCGGCGCCTTGCCTCCGCAGACGTGCCGCCCACGAGGCGTCTATGGGGCCCGCGAGAACCTCGGCAATCGGGTGGCGGGCAGACCCTGCTGGGAAGCAGCTGAGGTAGGCAGAGAGGGAACAAAACCCACGCAATGCCTTTCTGTGGGGCTGCCAAGATCCCTGTGGCGTGCACTTCTATGGAGGCCCAAGGCAAGATCGGCGCCTTGCCTCCGCAGACGTGGCCGCCCACGAGGCGATGGGGCCCGCGAGAACCTCGGCAATCGGGTGGCGGGCAGACCCTGCTGGGAAGCAGCTGAGGTAGGCAGAGAGGGAACAAAACCCACGCAATGCCTTTCTGTGGGGCTGCCAAGATCCCTGTGGCGTGCACTTCTATGGAGGCCCAAGGCAAGATCGGCGCCTTGCCTCCGCAGACGTGCCGCCCGACGTGCTTGGTCGCCGTCCACCTGTGGGGCGTCCGCGCGAGAGACTGGAGAGAAAACGCGCTGACAGCAACCGCATCCTTCGCGCTCCCGTGGGCGGGCCCAAGAGTCATCCCCGTCCCTGGAGCTCCGGGTCTTCGAGTGAACAGGCGTGCGCCGCAGAGCAACCTCTCAGGGGGCGGGTCCACGGCCCCGGCTCCCCCATGGAACGCGGCCGAAGTGCCTGCACGAACCGGTGCTCTGTGCGGGACGTGGTGGCCTACGCGAGGACTGGCCGCGCAGCCCTTCTGATGGGCCAACCCGGTGTGGCAGCGCTCTTCGGGTCGGTACCACGAACCCAGCCTCGCAGGGAGCACGCGGTTCTGTGGAGCTCCGGATCTCGACCCCCAGGCCTCAGGCGGCTGCCGCACGGGTGTCACGAGGCGGTCATGTGGCCGGTGGGAGACTCGCGAGCGAGCAGCTGGCGCAAATGGCAGCGAGGCAAAGCACCCAGGGGCTGTGCCCGGCAGGACCCCTGTCGCGCGCAAGTGCCTGGAGGCCCCCAAGACCAGATCGGAGCTTCGCCTGCGCAAGTGCGCAGACGTGCCACGCCAGACTGCTCTTCGCCTTGGCCGCCCCCACTTGCAGGGCCCACGAGGCGTCCATGGGGCCCGCGAGAACCTCGGCAATCGGGTGGCGGGCAGCCCCTGCTGGGAAGCAGCTGAGGTAGGCAGAGAGGGAAAAAAAACACCCAAGCGAAGCCTTTCTGTGGGGCTGCCAAGGTCCCTGTGGCGTGCACTTCTATGGAGGCCCAAGACAAGATCGGCGCCTTGCCTCCGCAGACGTGCCGCCCGACGCGCTGGGTCGCCGTCCACCTCTTGTGGGGCGTCCGCGCGAGAGAGCTGGCAGCAGCAAATCGCGCTGCCAGAACAACCGCATCCCCCTCCGCTGTGGGGGGGGTGGCCCTGGCACCTCTGGAAAGCTCGGGTCTCAGGTGATCAGGCGTGCGCCGCGGAGCCCCCCAGGCGGGTGCGGCGCGGCCACTGCCCCCAGCGTGAATCGTCTCGGCCGCCCTACCTGCACGATTCAAGGGCGGCTGCCTCTTGGGGACTGTGGGGCCTACGCAACGGCCGCGCACCCTTCTGATCGGCTGCCCCTGGTGTGGCGTGCGCTTCAGCCAGGGTCAGGATACTGCCGCAACCCAGTGCGCCAGAAGGAGCACGCACTTGTGCAGGCTTGGCGGCTCGCCCCGGCAGGCCCAGGGGCGAGTGCCGCGCGAGTAAAGTCGCCACGAAGGGGTCATGTGGCCTGGGGAGTTGGGCAGCGAGCAGGGGAGGCAGGAGGCAAGCAAGGCTGTGCCCGGCAGGGCCCCTGTCGCGGGAGTGCCTGGAGGAAGACCTCGGAGCTCGCCCGCAGTGCGCAGAGTGGGACTGCTCTTCGAGGCCCCCAGGAGGGCCCAAGAGGCTCCATGGAGGAGCGAGAAGGAGGAGGAGGAGGGAGGCTGGGAGCAGCTGAGGAGGAGAGAGGGAAGGAGTCGAGAAACAAGGAACAGCGATGGAGAGACAGGAGGAGGGAGGAGGAGGAGGAAGGAAGGAGGGGGAGGGGAGGGAGGAGGAGGAGGAGAGAGGAGAGAGAGGAGAGGAAGAGGGAGGAGCGAGGAGGAGAGCAATGCAGTTCTGTGACAGGGCACTGGGCGTGCACTTCTATGGAAGAAAGCAATGGCCCGACGTTCTGACCTCCTGGAGGAGAGAGCTGAGCAGAGGAAGGAGAAGCACGTCAGGAGGAGAGAGGAGAGAGAAGGCGAACCTCTGGGCAAAGGAGGAGGAGGAGGAGGAGCACGACGACGACGACGATGACGACGACGACGACAATGACGACGACGGAGGAGGGACCCCGGGGCCTCAGGGGCCTACCCCGTAAAATCGGCGAGCCCTGAAGGTGTTCAGGGGATCGAGATTCTGGGCAAGTGCCCGTGGCCGAAGGGCCTGCACTTGTCGCTGCCTTGGCCCCTGTCGCCAACCCTGGAGGCGAGTGGTGGGGCCAGTTGCGATACCTCTAACTGGTGCTATGTTTCTTAATGTGTTGAGTTGTCTTTGCGTGCTCGCCCCACGTTGTGGGGCAAGACTGGCCAGCAAATTGACCCCCGTCCTGTGGGGGGGGGCCCTCCCCCCCTGGGCCTCCTCACAAGCCCTGCCACAAGCGCTATCCTGTCTCTGCCGATAGGAGCCTCCGAGGACTCGAAAGAAGGAGCACCCAGTAGACGGAGCTACGGCATTCTGGCGAGACAGCCACAGGGGTCTTGAGAAGGAGCAGCTCATCCAGCTAGATCCTACCGGATCCTCCCTGGCGCCTCCACGTCCTCTTGAGTCCTCCTCCCCTCCAGTCTTCTGTCTCCGTCTCGTGCCTCCTCCTCCTCCTCGTCGAGGGAGTCGCGCCTGGTCGTCATAACGTCGTCGTAACACTGCCCTGCGTCCTGCGAGGGAGTGGTAAAGATGGCGACAACATAAGATCATCAACACTCGCTGCACGGGAACAGTCGTCACGCGGGTCTGGAATCTGTCTTTAGTCGGCACACGACGGACATTGCATGAGAAGGCAGCGCAGCCATCCAACCCCAAGCGCCATTATGAGGGGCTGCCATCCCTCCGCGTGCATTTCTATATGCCCAAGATGCGGGCCTTGCTCCGCGAAGTGCCGCCCGACGAGCTTGTCCCCCCCACCTTGGGGCGCCGCGCGAGAGATCCCTATTCCAAAAATCGCGCTTCCCCTAACAACCGCATCTTGCTCCCTGTTACCCTACACCCCCTCCCTTGGCCACCTGCGGGTCTTACAAAAACACGGCGTGCGCCGCAGGATCGGAGCACCTGCTCAGCGGCGGCGGCGGCGGCGGCGCGGCGGCGGCGCGGCAGGCCCTGCCTGCACGGGGCGGCGGCGGCGTGTGACGGTGGATTCGATGGCCCCCAGCGGGTAGCTGCCGTAGCAGACGAGGCGCGGCTGCTGCGGCTCGGCAGGCTCGACCACGGACAGGCCTCCGGGGCGAGACTGCGCACTGGGAACAGTCGCACGAGGCGGGTCATGTGGCCTGGGGAGTCGAGCCTGGCAGGGCCTCCCGGCAGCCTCAGCCTGCCTCAGCATATGCAGTCTGCTTCAGGCGGCCTCCAGCCTCCCGCGCCTCAGCACAATGGGTGAGGGCAGCCCCAACTAGAAGAGCTGAGGTAAATTATCCCGGCAAAGCAACCTAACAGCGATGTGTAGGAGCATATCTGGAAGCATTCCCCTTAAGATTCAGATGAGAATCCAGTTGTAGAATTGTGCTGTTCTCGCAGTCGTAGTCGCATTCGCGATGACAGTCGCAGTGGCAACGGCAGTCACAGACACAGCCTCAGCCTCAGCCTGCCTCAGCCTCAGCCTCAGCCTGCCTCAGCCTCAGCCTGCCTCAGCCTCAGCCTCAGCCTGCTTCAGCCTCAGCCTCAGTCTGCCTTCAGCCTCGGCCTCAGCCTCAGCATGCCTCAGCCTCAGCCTGCATCAGCCTCAGCCTCAGCCTCAGCCTGCCTCAGCATCAGCCTGCATCAGCCTCGCCTTCAGCGGCCTCAGCCTCAGGCTGTTTCTTGTTTGTTTTGCACTTCAGGAGGGCAATCTCAGTCTGCCGTCGGCTCGGCCTCGGCCTCAGCCTGCCCTCAGCCTCAGCCTGCATCAGCCTCAGCCTCAGCCTCAGCCTGCCTCAGCCTCAGCCTCAGCCTGCCTCAGCCTCAGCCTGCCTCAGCCTCAGCCTCAGCCTGCTTCAGCCTAGCCTCAGTCTGCCTTCAGCCTCGGCCTCAGCCTCAGCCTGCCTCAGCCTCAGCCTGCATCAGCCTCAGCCTCAGCCTCAGCCTGCCTCAGCATCAGCCTGCCTCAGCCCCAGCCTCAGCCTGCCTCAGCCTCAGCCTCAGTCTGCTTCAGCTTCAGCCTCAGTCTGCCTTCAGCCTCGGCCTCAGCCTCAGCCTGCCTCAGCCTCAGCCTGCATCAGCCTCAGCCTCAGCCTCAGCCTGCCTCAGCATCAGCCTGCCTCAGCCTCAGCCTCAGCCTGCCTCAGCCTCAGCCTCAGCCTGCTTCAGCCTCGGCCTCAGTCTGCCTGCAGCCTCGGCCTCAGCCTCAGCCTGCCTCAGCCTCAGCCTGCATCAGCCTCAGCCTCAGCCTCAGCCTGCCTCAGCATCAGCCTGCCTCAGCCTCAGCCTCAGCCTGCCTCAGCATCAGCCTCAGCCTGCTTCAGCCTCAGCCTCAGTCTGCCTTCAGCCTCGGCCTCAGCCTCAGCCTGCCTCAGCCTCACCCTGCATCAGCCTCAGCCTCAGCCTCAGCCTGCCTGAGCATCAGCCTGCCTCAGCCTCAGCCTCAGCCTGCCTCTGCCTCAGCCTCAGCCTGCTTCAGCCTCAGCCTCAGTCTGCCTTCAGCCTCGGCATCAGCCTCAGCCTGCCTCAGCCTCAGCCTGCATCAGCCTCAGCCTCAGCCTCAGCCTGCCTCAGCATCAGCCAGCCTCAGCCTCAGCCTCAGCCTCAGCCTCAGCCTGCCTCAGCCTCAGCCTGCCTCAGACTCAGCCTCAGCCTGCCTCAGCATCAGCCTGCCTCAGTCTCAGCCTCAGCCTGCCTCAGCCTCAGCCTGCTTCAGCCTCAGCCTCAGTCTGCCTTCAGCCTCGGCCTCAGCCTCAGCCTGCCTCAGCCTCAGCCTGCATCAGCCTCAGCCTCAGCCTCAGCCTGCCTCAGCATCAGCCTGCCTCCGCCTCAGCCTCAGCCTGCCTCAGCCTCAGCCTCAGCCTGCTTCAGCCTCAGCCTCAGTCTGCCTTCAGCCTCGGCCTCAGCCTCAGCCTGCCTCAGCCTCAGCGTGCATCAGCCTCAGCCTCAGCCTCAGCCTCTCAGCCTCAGCCTGCCTCAGCCTCAGCCTCAGCCTTCCTCAGCCTCAGCCTCAGCCTGCTTCAGCCTCAGCCTCAGTCTGCCTTCAGCCTCGGCCTCAGCCTCAGCCTGCCTCAGCCTCAGCCTGCCTCGGCCGCAGCATCAGCCTGCCTCAGCATTCAAAATGTGGCCCAGGAATGGAGTCTGGGAGAAGAACACGAAGTGGCCTACAGTTGGCTCCGGGCATTCAAAATGTGGAGTTCGGGGAACTCGAAGACCACGAAGTGGCCTACAGTTGGCTCCGGGCATCCAAAATGTGGCCCGGGAATGGAGTTCTGGGAACTCGAAGACCACGAAGTGGCCTACAGTTGGCTCCGGGCAAAAATGTGCCGGGAATGGAGTTCTGGGACTCGAAGACCACGAAGTGGCCTACAGTTGGCTCCGGGCATTCAAAATGTGGCCCGGGAATGGAGTTCTGGGAAGTCGAAGAGCACGAAGTGGCCTACAGTTGGCTCCGGGCATCCAAAATGTACGCCGGGAATGGAGTTCTAGCAGCGCCAAGAGCGATTTTGCGAGGATGTCCCAGGCGATTTGGGCTTCGGCGGCAGCCGCCCCGGGTCCCGCCCCGACCCCGCGCAGGAGTCATGATGCTCCTCCCCACACCATCCTATCAGTCTTCGCTGTTAGGTAAAAATTATCCCGGCAAAGCAACCTAACAGCCATGTGTAGAAGCATATATGGAAGCATTCCCCTTAAGATCCAGATGAGAATCCAATTGTAGAATTCTCCTGTTCTCGCAGTCGCAGTCGCATTCGCGATGACAGTCGCAGTGGCAACGGCAGTCACAGTCACAGCCTCAGCCTCAGCCTGCCTCAGTATCAGCCTGCCTCAGCCTCAGCCTCAGCCTGCCTCAGCCTCAGCCTCAGCCTGCTTCAGCCTCAGCCTCAGCCACAGCCTGCCTTCAGCCTCGGCCTCAGCCTCAGCCTGCCTCAGCCTCAGCCTGCATCAGCCTCAGCCTCAGCCTCAGCCTCAGCCTCAGCCTGCCTCCGCATCAGCCTGCCTCAGCCTCAGCCTCAGCCTGCCTCAGCCTCAGCCTCAGCCTGCCTCAGCCTCAGCCTCAACCTTTTCCTCAGCATCAGCCTGCCTCAGCCTCAGCATCAGCCTGCCTCGGCCTCAGCCTCAGCCTGCTTCAGCCTCAGCCTCAGTCTGCCTTCAGCCTCGGCCTCAGCCTCAGCCAACCTCAGCCTCAGCCTGCATCAGCCTCAGCCTCAGCCTCAGCCTGCCTCAGCCTCAGCCTGCCTCAGCGTCTGCCTCAGCCTGCCTCAGCCTCAGCCTCAGCCACAGCCACAGCCTCAGCCTCAGCCTCAGCCTCAGCCTCAGCCTGCCTCAGCCTCAGCCTGCATCAGCCTCAGCCTCAGCCTGCCTCGGCCTCAGCCTCAGCCACAGCCTGCCTCAGCCTCAGCCTCAGCCTGCCTCAGCGTCTGCCTCAGCCTGCCTCATCCTCAGCCTCAGCCTCAGCCTCAGCCTCAGCCTGCCTCAGCCTGCCTCAGCCTGCCTCAGCCTCAGCCTGCCTCAGCCTCAGCCTGCCTCAGCGGCTGCCTCAGCCTGCCTCAGTATCAGCTTGCCTACGCCTCAGCCTCAGCCTGCCTCAGCCTCAGCCTCAGCCTGCTTCAGCTTCAGCCTCAACCTTAGCCTCAACCTCAACCTTTTCCTCAGCCTCAGCCTCAGCCTGCATCAGCCTCAGCCTCAGCCTCAGCCTGCCTCAGCATCAGCTTGCCTCAGCGTGTGCCTCAGCCTGCTTCAGCCTCAGCCTCAGCCTCACCCTCAGCCTCAGCCTCAGCCTGCCTCAGCCTCAGCCTGCCTCAGCCTCAGCCTCAGCCTGCCTCAGCAGCAGCCTGCCTCAGCCTCAGTTGGCTACGGGCATTCAAAATGTGGCCCGGGAATGGAGTTCTGGGAACTCGAAGAGCACGAAGTGGCCTACATTTGGCTCCGGGCATTCAAAATGTGGCCCGGGAATGGAGTTCTGGGAACTCGAAGAGCACGAAGTGGCCTACAGTTGGCTCCGGGCATTCAAAATGTGGCCCGGGAATGGAGTTCTGGGGACTCGAAGACCACGAAGTGGCCTACAGTTGCTCCGGGCATTCAAAATGTGGCCCGGGAATGGAGTTCTGGGAAGTCGAAGAGCACGAAGTGGCCTACAGTTGGCTCCGGGCATTCAGAATGTGGCCCGGGAATGGAGTTCTGGGAGGTCGAAGAGCACGAAGTGTGTGACTGTTGGCTTAAAGCGACTTCTGCGGCACCTTGTCCGGCACCCGCCCAGACCCCCCTGTGGAGTCATGTGCTGCTCTGTTTTGACACCGTTAGAAACCTATCAGAACAAACTGTGCGGCAAAAACAAAATTTTCCCGGCAAAGCAACCTAACAGCGATGTGTAGAAGCATATATGGAAACATTCCCCTTAAGATCCAGGTGATAATCCAGTTGTAGAATTCTCCTGTTCTCGCAGTCGCAGTCGCATTCGCGATGACAGTCGCAGTGGCAACGGCAGTCACAGTCACAGCCTCAGCCTCAGCCTGCCTCAGTATCAGCCTGCCTCAGCCTCAGCCTCAGCCTGCCTCAGCCTCAGCCTCAGCCTGCTTCAGCCTCAGCCTCAGTCTGCCTTCAGCCTCGCCTCAGCCTCAGGCTGCCTCAGCCTCGGCCTGCATCAGCCTCAGCCTCAGCCTCAGCCTGCCTCAGCATCAGCCTGCCTCAGCCTCAGCCTCAGCCTGCCTCAGCCTCAGCCTCAATCCTGCCTCAGCCTCGAGCTCAACCTTTCTGAGCACGCCTGCCTCAGCCTCGCATGCGGGCCCCATAGGCTCTCACCTCAGCCTGCCCTTCATCCTCAGCTCATCTGCCTTACAGCCTCGGCCTCAGCCTCCACCTGCCTCAGCCTCAGCCTGCCTCAGCCTCGCCTCAGCCTCAGCCTCCTCAGCCTCAGCCTTCCCTCAGCGTCCTGCCCTCAGCCTGCCTCAGCCGCAGCTCAGCCACAGCCACACTCAGCCCTTCATCCTCAGCTCAGCCTCAGCCTGCATCAGCCTCAGCCTCAGCCTGCCTCAGCCTCAGCCTCGCCACAGCCTGCCTCAGCCTCAGCCTCAGCCTGCCTCAGCGTCTGCCTCAGCCTGCCTCAT